CGTTTATCTTGTATATGATGAAGTATTTTTCGACGTTTCCAATCGGAATCTAATTCACAAAACCAATCATCAGATTCTTTCATAGATAATTGACATTGATTAGGACTAAGTTCTCCGGATGATGATAATGATGTTTTAGTTTTTGTAACAAAATAATATAGATTAAATATCAGTATAATAAGTGAAAAAGTAATTAATGTTTTGTTAGCAAATGATGAATCTCTTCTCTTTTTCATTATGCTTAACATTGATGTTGAATCATTTTATATATGAATGATTAAAGACTAGAAAGAAAATAAGAGCAGTTTTACAAATTAGGCAAAATACTCTTGATAAATAATATAAAGTAACTTAATAAAACTCACCTAGTCGGACAAAATTCTTAAGAATGCGTTTGAATTTCATTGAAGCAGTGTTTTGAATGATTTCCTCAATGCATGAAAACGCGTTATCTATTCTAGAAGTCGCTAAATGGCATAAAGTGTTTCTAGTTTTACAGGTTGTAACCTATTTTACGCGCAAACCAAAGAAAGCTTATCTGGTTCAAGGAGAAAACACTTACTCACGCGCAATAGTCAGCTAAGAGAACATATTTTATGAGTATTTTTCTAGATAAGTGTTTGCTAAGTTCAACAACCGTTGCTCATTTCTCTCTTTTTCAAGCAAATCAACACGGTTAACGAAATTCGTCTATGAAGATTAGTTTATCTGCAAAGTTGTTAATTGATATATTTCAGGGCGAGTTTTCGTAGGAGCGCGAGAATGGTTGATTTTTCGCTTTGCAATGAATAACTAATGAGAGTTGTTTTAAGTTTGTATTATCCAAAAGTGATAAAAAACAATCTATAATTTTACACTAGGCTGTCGAAAAGTAAAGAAACACAACTTTTTTTTTGATTCGGTCTGTGGATATGAATAATAAAATGTCTTATGTAAAGCTGACCTATTACATAGTGATAGTCAGAAGCACACCGATGTGTCTTGTATACTGTGGTGTGACTGCAACAAAACTGATCGTTTCTTGTTGTATTTTGGTTTTTTGTTTAATTGAATCGATTTTCAGAATAAATTGGATAGTATTATTCGTTTTTGAACTTGTTTAAGATAAAGAAATGCAAAACATCAGTAGAAATATACTCTATTCTGCAAATCAGGGCCATTAATCGAAAAATAGTAATGGAATGCGACAAGAGAATTAGAATTCCTGCTCCAATCACCTTGAACTATAAAAGATACATTTGTGTGTTTTTTTGGGAATAGATTATTGAGCACAGATACTAATAATGTTGCTTCAAATAAGAGATTTTATTATTCATGCATAGAGACGAAGTTAAAAAGTCTTGAGTTGCCTTACTTTTCGTCCATCTTGAATATTAGCGATTTAGTATTAATGAAAGAGAAAAACAAGCTTAATTGTAATACAGTAAGAGAGCAATTTCACATATGAAACACGTTGTGAATAAAAGTATGATATTGATTGAATAGCAGCCAATGATGTGTACCTATCTTTTTTTTTCTTTGTCACATCTCTGCTCTATTCATGAAAAAATGAGCGTGTATACTTCGCATATTCATAAAAAAAAATATTGTATCGTCCTGTATTTCAAGGACAACTGTCAAGCAAAAGTAAATCCTATTTTTACTTGTAAATGTATTATTTTTTATTGCAACGCGTTCAAATGCATCGGTATTTATTTGCAACGCGCTTAATCGGGTCGTTTTTTATCTGCGGTACGTTTCTTCAGCTTAAAACATCACCTAGAAATATTATTCAAGCGTACTTGTGAGAGACACGTCTCTGATCCCCAATAAACGCCATGTGACTCATCCTTCGAACACCTTTTCTTTTCTGCGTTTGGACACATGTATTTTTCATGTATTAAAATCTGATTGTTTAGCTTTCTCTTACTGAAAAAAACGCTTTCTTTTTCAACAAATGCACCAGAATGGTTTTTTAAATACGTTTTCTTACTGTAAAACGAGGGTTTCTGACACACAAATTCAAAATACTCATGTTCTTATTATCAGTAACAAATGTTGTTTTATCAGATGCAGTCTGCTATCGTTTAGGCAAACAGTTTGAAATATCAGACTTAAATAATATACTGTTTAGATACAATCGTTATAAAGATGAATTGATTATAGTCTACAATGGCCTCTGTAAAATGTCTTCGATTTTTCGTCCTCCAAAAAAATGCCTTTCACAAGAGAACATCACCAGCTTATCCACTCTATGAGGTCGTATGTTGCTCATGGATAGCACTAATAGTATAGTTAAAACTCCTAAAATGATTCTTTCCAATAGGCTCTTATTCTCGAGCTATAATAATTTTAGTTAATCTCCAGTCTAATGCGAAATATTACGAGAAAAATCTAATCAAAGAATTTCAATTCGCAATTTTATCCAAAAGAATAGATCTTACGATTCTTATAATATCCTGAAAGTTTCAGCCAAAACAGATATTCTATTGCTGAGGTAACACATATCAAGAAAAAGGTCTATTCTAACAAAATCGAGAAAGTGCGAAAAAAATAAACAGAGCGCGAACCGCTCTTCAGTTGATAGTAATGAAATTTGCTCAAATAAACCTCGATTTTTGTGATGGTACTAAGTTTTGGTAAAAGTGTATTTTGATTGACTTTTAATTATCCATTACCGCCTACTTCTCAATATTATTTAGCTAGGAAACTGTCCATGACTTAAACATTCCTGGCTATGCCATTAATCATTTATTTTCACACATTCTCTACATGTCTGCAATCATTTGATTAATATACAGTTTCCTGTTTTTATTTATCGATAAAGGAACTTTTTTCACGGAAAAACAACATAAACTTAAATTGCATGAAAACTCAATTCATTTTATTTTCTGTTTAAATAATATCGTATTCTGTCAAAAAACAAAGCAAACATTTCTATAATAAATAACAGATATGAAATGAAAAAATTCGGATAAAATTTTATTAATTATAACGGTGATATGAAAAATGATGGATTTAAACGTAACATTGCATATTCAAAAAGATTTTGTGCATTAACTACATTAGCTTCCTTATGAAATATTGCAAAATTTTGTGAACGAAATAATTCAAATAACTTATGTGCACGTCGACATGGTGATTCACTTCTATCAACATTAAGATGAATTTCAAAAAGAATTTGACGAATATAAGGTAAATCACTTTGTTTATTATTGGAAGACTGAAATAGTTCTTCAAAAAAACTAAATTCACCACCTTCAATATCAACTTTAAGTATATGAATCTGTCGCTTTTGATGACCAAGTTCATTCATAACCATTTGTAAAGATTTTGAACTATCATTTTTTCCATTACCTAAGCGAACCTGATGAAATGTACAAACATTTTCAGGACATCTATATAATCTCTTATCAAATGTATGAATTTCTGCATTTCGAAAGAGTTCTTTGATTGCATATTCAAAACTAAAATCACCATTCGAACCCAATGAATAAACCAGTATATTTGTAGTATTCAGAGATCCAAAACGATGTATATCACAAACCCATTTTCCACCATCACCAATATTACCAAGTCGTCGTTCAAATTCACATTGTATGGTTGGTTCCCAATTATTTTGAAAAAAAGTTGAACGTTCATCTGATGCACGATTACGTTTATCTTGTATATGATGAAGTATTTTTCGACGTTTCCAATCGGA